GAACAGAACTAAGTATATGAGGGCTATTGCCTTTTTATTTCTTGAAGCTGTATCACTCAGTCCAGTCTTTCATATCATTTGGTTCAGCCCACTGTTCTAGCCCGGGCTTTTAGAATTCTGACTCTATATTATCCAATGCATTAAGTATTCCTCCCAAAAGGCAGTGGATAGAGTGCTGGGCCTGGAGTCAGGAAAGCTTGTCTTTGTGAATTCAAATCCTGTCTCAGATACTTACTAGCTGTGTGACACTGGGAAAGTCACTTAACCCTGTTTGCCTCAATTTTCTCATTTGTAAAATGAGCCAGAGAAGGAAATGGCAAGCCACTCCAGTATCATTGCCAAGAAAACCCCAAATGGGGTCACAGTCAGATGTGACTGAACAACTAAATGACAGCAACAACATTCCTCCCAACTTTGTGCAACATGTAAATTTGAGAAGCATGCCATCTATGCTTCATTTAAATAAATGATAAAAATATGAAAAAGCACAAGGTGAAGTAGAGATCCTTGGAGAACTCAACTTCCAAATTGTGCCAGCTTAGTCTACACTGTTTAATTGTCTTTCAATACTACCTCCATCACACTCCCAGTCAGCTACTGGGTAACAACTTAGCACTTATTTTATGTCCTTGTTCAGATTTTGCTTTGAGATTGTAAACCAAATGTGTGTGTGTGTGTGTGTGTGTGTGTGTGTGTGTGTGTGTAATTTTTTTTTTTCCTCTTTGACTTTACTCCCTTGAGAATTAATTTATAATCTTTTGGCACCCTTTAAGGGAAGGTCCTCACTTCCAAAAGTGGTTAATATGGTACCAGGCACATAACAAATATAAAATAAGTACTTACTAATTGATTCAAATCATGTAACTGAGCAGTTGGATCAAAACACAGATCAGGTCTTTAGAGGTAGTTTAATGCCTAAAATTAATGAATGCCTGAAAAATACCTAAAGAAAATATCTTTGTATTTTGAACAAAATTTTAAGAAATGAGTAATATTTTGCTGCTGGTAAGCAGTTCAAGTACCAATATCTCAGTTTACTTTTCTCCACGAAGTAAATGCCAGTGGCCCTTTGCTAGTGTTAACTGTCCAGTCCGTGATAATGTCAGAAAGATGCTATCTGTCATCTTTTGCCAGCCAGTCTATTACAGTGTGTCTTTCTACAGGTGGTACCTATTCAGGATGTTAACTTGCTTTGCTTAAAAACTATCTTTGGAGTAACATTTTGTAGCTGTTGCTATCTCTGTTTAAAAGTCAATATTTTTATAAAGTACCTCAATCTCTAAAGAATGGATGAGATAGCCTCTAAGATTCCTTTCAGCTTTAAATCTATGGTCCTTATAATCCTCATATATTTGTTATTAAGTTGTTTTCAGTCTTGTCTGATTCTTCATGACTTCATTTGGGTTTTTTTTTTGGCAAATATACTGCAGTAGTTTGCCATTCCCTTCTCCAGATAATTTTACAGATGAGGAAACAGAGGCAAACAGTGTTAAGTGACTTGCCCAGGGTCACATAGCTGGTAAATGTCTGAGGCCAGATTTGAGCTTAGGTCTTCTTGACTCCAGGCCCTGGCATTCTATCCACTGCACCACCTAGCTGCCCTTATATATTAGATGAATTCAAATGTTGGAAATGATAGGTCAGAAGGATGTCAGGTTCATTGGGAAATGAATTAATTTAAGCTGCTCTGGTACTATGTAGTTTACTGAAGTAATAACATTCAAAATAATACTTCAATTCTCATCTTTCATAAGTTAAATCAATAAATATATATAATTATTAGCAGAGAAGTGAATAAAGCTTAGAAAAACAAATTACAAGGTTCATAGATTTAGAGCTGGAAGATACCTCAGACATCATATAGTCTAACTCACATTTTAGAGGTGAAGAAACCAAGTCCTCCTTAGTGCTAGTGTCTTCCCTCTGTTGTTTATTTCTAATTTATCCTGTATATAGCTTATTTGTACCTACTGGCTTGTACGTTGTTTCCCTCATTAGACTGTGAGCTCCTTGAGTGCAGAGAATGTCTTTAGCCTCTGTTTGTGTCCCCAGCACTTAGCATAGTGCCTGGCACATAGTGAACCTTTAATAAATATTTACTGACTGAGTGAATCAAAGAGAAATTAAGAATCCAAGGTCATAAAGATTTGAGCTTAGATTTTCTGATTCTCAAGCCAATGCTCTTTCCACTCTCTATGGTGTTCCAAGTATGACTGATTGGAATCTCAAGTTCTGGGATATGTATATCATGGCATAAGGGACTTGGTCCTTGAAAGACCAGTACCAAATCCCAGAAAAGGGGGATAAAGAGGTGTTCAACTAATCATGAAAATTTGATCCATTTATGAAGTGTGAACAAATCCCAGGAAAGGAAGAAACAAGGCATAGGATGAACAATGATTGGGCACTGACATTCAAAAGTCAGTTTAGTCAGTTCAGAAACAAAATACAAAAGGAACCCAGTTCCTGATGAGACATGCAGAAAATATAGGTGCTGAAGAAGGGGAGGTCATGAAAAATCATATGGAGCAGGTAAAGCAGAAAGCCCTCCAACTCCAGGAATGAAGTTGTTTGGTGACAATCAGCAGAAGAAATGTCACTCATAGAGTCCAGGCCCTTTCTTTGGGACACCTGCCTCTACTTGCGATTCTGCTCTCTCAGCTCCAGATGCCACCTCCAGACATGGGCATTCCATTCTATAAATCTTCTGAAGATGTGGATGAAAACTGGGATTCTCTTCAAATGTGACTGCCACTTGGAATGGCTGACTTGATTTGCATCCTTTTTAATCCACTTAAGGGGATTTGTTTGCTCCCAATACACGGATCACTAGGTCTGGACACATTTTTACAATTAGCTTATCTCCTTGCTTTAGACCCCTTCTCTGTCAGTAGGCCCTGAGCTTTCAAGGACCAGCTCTTTTATAATGGTATAGGTATTTTTGTTAGTATTTATTCTTTGTGTGACAGATAAGGTTTCTTATACTATTTTTTTGCGAAAGAGAGAAATACATGTGAGCAGGACAATAGAGCAATTAGATAAATTTGGAACTGGTTGAAGGGATGGATCCAAAGAATAGTCATTATTAATGGCCCTGTGGCAACTTGGAAAGTCTTTTTGGAATGCTTCAGAGATCCATCTTGACCCTGAACTTATTAACATTTTCTTAGTGACTTGGACAATGACATCAACAGCATGCTTCTCAAATCTGCAGGTTCCACAAAGCTGAGAGGGGTAGTAAGTTCACTAGAAGACAATCTCAAGATCCAAGATTGTCCCTCCTACAGAGCCTCCTAGAAGAAATCTGTAACTACTTAAACCATTTTGACCTAAAAAGTAGAGCAAGATAGTGTAACAATCAGTGATTAGGACACAGACTAGGTGAAGACAGGAGGGGAAGAGGTATGGGATTTGATCACTTTCATTTCAAATTATTAGTGTTGATCACATTTCTTTTGTTTCACCACCTTTTTTCTTTCTTTTTTTTTTTAAAGAGGGATTAAGAGCAAGGAAAGGAAAAAAGTATAAGAGTATGTGATGATGGGAAAAACAGAATGTATGATCATAACTAGGAATGGGAATGGGAAAAATTCATCTGTAAAAGGAATGAGGGTAGCAAAATGGATAAGAAACCAGTATCCAACACACATTGTTTATAGGAAATGCATTTGAAACATAAAGATTCACACAGATTTCTAGGGTTTGGGGTCACCACTTTCTCCTGGTCTTCCCCTTTCTTATCCTACTTATCTCTTCTTCTTTCTTAGTATCCTCTGCTGGATCTTCATCCAGAACATGCCTGCTAATCATAGTTGTTAAACACAAGAGTTCTGTCCTGGGCCCCATTCTCTTCACCCTCTGTACTGCTTTAACTACTTTACTTGGTGATTTCATCAGCTCCCATGAATTTAATTACCATCTCTCTGCTGAGTCTCAAATCTACCTATCTAGCCCCAAACTCTTCTCATCTCTAATCTCACATCTTCAAGGGCTTTTCAGACATCTTGTATTGGATGTCCTATAGACATCTTAAATGGAATATGTCCAAAATAGAACTGTGATCTTTCCCCCATACTCTCTCCACCACCTTCTCCACTCTCCTTATTACTACACCATTCTCCCAGTCATTCTGAGTCACAACCTAGGAGTCATCCATTATCTCTCACCTCCTACATCTGATCTGTTGCCAAGGCCTGTTGATTTCACCTTTGCAACATCTCTTGAATGTGTCCCCTTATTTCCTCTGACACTGTCCATACTTCCTGTCTGGATTATTGCAATTATTGCAATTACTGCTGGTGAGTCTGTCTGTCTCAAGTCTCCGCGCTCCAATCCATTCCACTCAGCCACTAAAGTGATTTTCCTAAAGGTCCAGCCTGATCATGCCACCCCTCTACTCAGTAAACTCCAGTGGCTCCTGATCTTCTCCAGGATCAAATACAAAATGCTTTTTCTTTGGGGGGGGGACATTCATAGCCCTTTATAACCTAGCCCCCTTCTACCTCCCCAGACACTGGCCTCCTGACTGTTCCATGAACAAGTAACTCCCATCTCTCAGCTCTGGGCATTTTCTCTGGCTCTCCCTCTTATCTGGAATGTACTCCTACCTCTGTTCCAACTACTGACCTCCCTGGCTTCCATTAAGTCCCAAATAAAATCCCACCTTCTACTGGATTAATCCAATCTGGATTAATTCTAATGCCTTTCCTCTTTTAATGATTAACTATTTATCCTGTATATAGCTTGCTTTGTATACATTTGTTTGCATGTTTTCCCCTCTATTAGATTTCAAGCTCCTTGAGGGCAGGAACTGTCTTTTGCCTCTCTTTGTATCTCCAGCATGCTTAGCACAATGCTTTTCACATAGTAGATGCTTAGTAAATATTGATTGATTGACTGAGATATAAAACGTCATTCAAAAGCTTGCTCTACAGAAGTTAGAGTAGCTGTTACTATCTCTTTAAGATCATAGAAGCAAGGAATTACCATTGTAACTGTCATTCAGTGAAATGACTCCTAGTCGAGTTAATGGTAAGGGTGGGGCTTAATTTTGATCTTTGAGGATCTATGTGAAAAGAGGAAAAGAAGGTGAGGAGAAACTTGCGTATTGTTAGAGTTGTCCTAACTGTTATTTTCTAAAGAAACATCATAAAGACAATTTTATATGGAGGGAGTCTGGAGAGGCACTTCTGAGAGCAGAACTGAATGAAGGAAAACAGAGAGAAAGAAGTTGGCTATCTTCTTCCTTTATGATACCGATGTAACTTTCATCTTGTGAAGAGGATAAAGAGGAATCTAATGGCAATAGTACCTTGGTTATCCCATGTAAAGCTAAAAGGAGTTGGTACTGTGTTTTCACAATGGAAGAGAAATCATCTGCTTTGTAGTAAAGGTTTGAAGTGATTTTGACCATGATCATTCTCACAGGTAAAACATTGTAAATAATAAATTTGTTATTGTTTTTAATTATTAATAAATATATATTTAGTAGCTTTAATAGTCATTTAATTCTAAGAGATTAAGGGATTTATAAATATATACCTCTAGAGATAAAGCTACATATCTCTAGAGATATATAATTACATATAATTAAAGTCACTGAATATATAATTTATTAATATATCTCTAGATATATAAGAACAGGGACAGAAACAGGGACAGCCAGAAACAGGGAAAGAGTCAGACAGAGACATAGAGCAAGAAACACAGAAAGACAAATATAAAGACAGAAATGGTGATGAGAAGATGAGAGAGATGAAAACAGACAGATTGAAAGGACAGATAGAGAAGAGGGAGAAACCGACAAAAGACAGACACAGAGAGATGGAGAAGAGACAGAGAGAGGACAGACATAGGAAAAAAAAAAGATCTAGACAAAGGAGGCAGAGTGATCAGAGAGCGAAAGAGAAAGTAAAAAATTTGAATTCAATGCGATAATTTCCATAATCATAGCTTTCTGATTCTTATAAATGGTTAAAAAAAATAGATTTTATAAAATTTAATTACAGCACTACTAAAATAATTTCTTTTTTTTAAAAATTAGAGTATTAAAGTAAGGAGGTTAGGCTAGAGAACCTTTAAGATCCCTTCCAGATCTAAATCTCTGATTAATTTTTTACTTTTAAAAATGCTCTATTGATGGTTTTTCAGTGTCATCGAAGTTTTCCAGTAACCCTCCTTCCATCCTCCCGCAGAATCTTTTCCTTGCAACAAAGTAGTACCGTTAAACTTTAATCCTGAGGAAGTGCTGGTGGTCTACAAGGCCTGGGGCAATATCAGCACTCCCTGTTCTATGAGCATGATATTTGGACCAGGTTCATTTCAGAGGCGCTTGATCTCTAATAAGAGGGTCTTCATCCTCGACCTCCCTGCAGGCTCTGACACTGTTGACCGTCCTCTTCTCCTTGATACTCTTTTCTCCCTGCTCTGTCCTGGTTCCCCTCTTACTTATCTGACTGCTCCTTTGCTGGACCTTCATCCAAGTAATAAAGTAGGGCTCGAAGTCAGGAAGACCTGAGTTCAAATCTGGCCTCAGACATTTATTAGTTGTGTGACTCTCAGTTCCATCATCTTAAATAGAGGATAAAAACAGCACTTATTTTGCAGGGTTGTTGTGAGGATGAAATGAGGTATTTGTAAAGCACTTACCATAGTGCACAGCAAATAGTAGGTACTATATAAATGCTTATTCCTTTCCTTACCCTACCCCCTCCAGACTCAGTTCCAGCATTCTACGAATCTATGAATCTAAGCTTTTGTAAGTCTGAGTTACTGTATAGGTTCCTGAGAGAGGTAGGGTTTTCCAGAGTAGATAGCTGGACTGACTACTTCTATTATTCTTTGTGTTTTCTGTCATGTTAAAGAAAACCTGTTCTGTATTTTATGTTTTGTTAACCTGAATGCTTGCATGTGAGCTAAGGGTCTTCTTTTAGAAATGTATGCACTAACTTCCAATGTTACCAGGGGAAACTTTGGGGGTATGAGCCAAAAGAAATTTGTTAGAGATACTCCCAAGGTGAATCCTGGTCTCTATTGACAGGTTCTGGATCTGATTGACACAATAATTATGAAGTATAGTTTGTGAGCTATCACAAGGAAATTCACTAAAAGTTAAAACATATTTTTCATCAAAAAATCATAAAAAAATTCATAGAAAATATGAGCAAAACACCAGATTAAAGGCTAGTAACACCTGACTACTAAAATATTAGGAGAGAAAATAACAGTAGGATTAATCAAATTAGTTGGAAATAGCAAATACAGTTTGCATTCATTTGGAAATATATCACGTGTTGCCTAGTTAGGCCTTGACCATTTTAGCTTTAACTTATTAAAAGATTGTTTGTTGTTATTTAAGCTTCCACCTGTTTATGCCTTATCTCCTACCTATGTCATAAGCTTCCTGGGATGTTAGAAACGGTCCTTTAGTCCTCTTAGGTATCCCCCAAAGCACTTGCCATTTTGCTGATACACAGGAGGAACTCAGCAAATATTTATTGATTTGATTGAAAAGAACAGAAAAGAACTCATTAATCCAAATTATTTTAATGCTTTTCAGTGGCATGTTTTTTCAGGTGTTTTTCACATTACTCACAAACTCTGTACAAATAGAGCAAAGAAGAAAAAAAAATAATGTACCTGGGGCTCCAGAACAGAGTCAGTGACTTCTGAACTGAATCAAGGGGTTAAGTGTAATGGAAATTCTTTTTAGTCACTGGGAAAAATAGTGATTATGTTTTAAATGGGTACTTCCAAGGGTTTAACCAAGAAAAAAAGAGAAGTCAATTATTTCTGTCACTGAAGATTCACTTATAAGACAATATCAAATCTAGGCCTGAAGAATTAATTGCATTTATAGTCTGCATCTTAGTGCATTTCATATAATCATACAATATTGAAGAAATAACTCTATTTGGGGGAAATGTCTATCTCTTGCCATTATCTGACCGGCTCAGACAGGTTACAGTCCACTGAGAACTGAAAAGCTAAATGAAACAGCATTTATAATGCAGAATGACTAATCCTGCAGTCAGGATGATAATCTAAGCAAATTCTCTGAAAGTATTTGTTCTATATTGAGGGGAAATAGATTAGTAGGACTCTTAGTGACTTCAACAGACATGATCCATTTTATTAATTACCATCCAGTCTAGATACCAAAGTTATTACTGAATTTCCAGCAGATATAATGAGGTGAAAAAGCAGGAGACAGTTTCATTGCTGGTACCTTCCTAACACTCAGTGACAAAATCAGACTACCAGAGGCTACCAGAATTTCAGTCATATGATTGTTTGGATCTAGAGTAAGAAGACAGCTCTTAAGCATGGAAAAAGGCAAAGTAAGATAGGCTACCAACCCAGGAAAGCACTTGGGGGAAACTTAAATGACTATATAGTTGACCAACTTTATGGGTAGCACCTTTATATGTAAACTCTGTCTATCGATGCAAGCAATTTGTCTATAACTTCATCTGAATAGCCTAAGGCACTGAGTGGTTAAGCGACTTGTCGATGGTCACACAGCTAATATGTGCAAGAGGCAGGATTTGAATCTAGGTCTTTCTAACTCTTAAGGCTAGCCTTCTACCCATACTGTCTCTCATATTTTATTGATGTTAAACAATTATATGTTCATAAAGATATAGTCCTCTATATTATTAGTAGAAATTCTTACCAGAAACTATTAGGGACTGTGTTATCTACTAATTAATGTAGAATGGGACAACATATCACCTTTTATATCAACAGAGAGGGCAACTCTTGATAGAATGCTTAAAGTTCATTAAATTCATTAAAAACCTTCAAAGAGAATTTGAGGAGCTTGATATCACTACTTAGAGTGAAACTTGGGGTAAGTCACCTGATTCTAAGAGGGAAAGCTCATTGGTTTTATGTGTTTCTGTGAGCACCTCTGAGACTTCTTACTCTGAAATTTTAATTCCAGAGTCCTTTCCAGCCTCTGAAGAACAGCCACAAAGATTCTGCATGACAATATCACCAATACCATAAACCCTAAAAGTTTGGTTAAAGTCCAGAGCCTCTTAAACAGGTTTGACCCTGCTTGCTTTATCTGCTGAGGATAGATTTGCTCATGTGTTAAATTTTTATATATCCTTATGTGTCATCTCTCCCTCAGAGCTCCAGCTCTGGGCTTAAGTGGACTAGGTTCATTCTTTGGCAGGGGTTAGGGGTGGGGAACCTGAACCCAAAGAGAGGGGAAAAGACTTTTCTCACACATTCATTACCCCTAGCCTATAATTCAAGGAATTATCTTTTAAAGCAAAGGTTAGATAATGGCTCACTCCAACGATTGTTTCTAAAAGGGTATGAGTATCCCCCTTATAGAAAAAATTCTCAATATACAAAGTAGATATCATGTATGGGACAGTTACTTATTTCCTTCATCAGAAAAAAATGCTTAAAACACTTGACATACCATTGGAAGAGGGATTAGGGGCAGTTCCCTGAAGTACTATTCTGTGACGCTGTGTGCTGTGTATATGGAGGGAGACTTACTTTCAGATTGGCTGAGACCTCTGAGCCTGTGATAATGTGGAGATAACTTCTGAGAAGAATCAGAGAGAGACTGGGCAAGAGATACATGTATCTCAACTTTTAAATAGATAAAAGGAGTTCCCAGTGCCACAGGCATGTGAAGAAAGCCAGCACCCTAACAGGTCCCTTGATTCCTAGCATTTGCATCCCCAGAGATCACTAAGAGCAGATTTGTTTGGTGAAATTGTTTTCTCCTTGTTCGAGATGAGATTTTATCTCAATCCTGAATTGAAGATTCCTTTTTCTTTTATGTATTTGCTTGTATCAATTAATCTGTGTATCTCCCCTGGTTTCTGTTTTACTACTTCCTTGGACAAATGTTTGCCTGCTCTCTGTTATTGTCTTTTGTGTAACAAAGAGCTTAGCTGGCTGAGGGTAAGTTCACCATCATCCTCCCAGTGTTGGATGGGACCACTTTGCATTCAAAGTGAACAGCAAGCCCTAAAAGAGCATCCTACACCTAGACTCCAAATATCTGGTGTGTGGTAGATACAGATCTAACCCAAGGCCCCTCTTGGAGAGAGGAGAATGAAGCAATGAGAACCCAGTCAAGGCCTTCTTCATAAGGTAGAAATCAGCTTACCTTGGAGATATGGAGTAAAATGTTCCAGATCTTACTATTTAAAAGTATCTCTGCAACTTGGGCTGCCCTGGGTGTCTGTGGCTTGGGTTGAAACTCATACACAAAATACCAATAAGTACATGTTAACAAAAAGATAAAACATTAAATAGTAACCTTATATTTTTATTCCACTCTCCTAGTAAAGTAAAGACTACTTTGCAGGACTGCTCAATACATAATTCAAATTGATCTTGTATCTGTACTATATTAGCAACTCACAGATCTTCTGGTCACACATGTTCTTTCCATTCAGGAAACTTCTAGTGGGAGTGCCCTTCTCTTCTGAGAAAATGTCTCCTGATAGGTAACCGTCTCAGACCTCTCAAACTCATGAGGCTACCAATAGGGCCAGAAACATCTGTTTCTAAGGAACATTGTTTAGGGACCTCAAAGAAAGAAACACAAAACAAAACAAGCAGCCAGGGCCTTGAGGTGAAGTCTTAGGCTCACCTGATATGAGTAATTATAACAGGTAGCATCTATGTAGCATGTTATAGTTCTGTTATATAGCTAAGTGGCACAGTGGGCAGGTAGGTGTCACAGTAGACAGTGAGGTGGCACAGCTAATAAAGTGCTGGGCCTGCTGTCAGGAAGACATGAGTTCAAATCTGGCCTTAGAAATGATCTCTGTGACCCTGGGTAAGTTCCTTTAATGCTGTTTGCCTCGATTACCTCATTTGTACAATGAGGATACTAATAGCACCTACATCCTAGGGTGGTTGTAAGGATCAAATGAAACAACATTTATAAAGCACCTGGCACATAGAAGGTGCTAAATAAATGCCAGCTATTATGAAGAGGCTAAGGTTTTGCAAAGTACTCTTTACTAATGTTTTCTCAAGCAGGCGTTCTTGCTGCCATGTGTGTGACAATAAATGTCACTGCTTCTTGTCCCTGGGTTGCAGATGGGGAGGAGAAGGGGTGAGAATGGGAGAGAGATTGCTTCCCCTTACCTTGTTGTGGGTCTAAGGAAGAACTGTCATTGGCTGCATCTCAATCAAGAGCTTGCCTTGAAGTTTCCCTTCATTTCTTATAGCCCACAAATTGGGCAGCTCTTCCTTACTCAATTACCAGCCTTCTTTGACATAATCCCTGTTTCAGAGATACATGGAGACTAATCAGGCCATGGAAAGGGGCCAGAACAGCCAGGACAGACATCACCCTGTTATAAAAATAAAGCAGATTATGAGTGCTCTAAGAGAGGAGCCAAACCACAAGGAAACAGAAGGAAGTTCAGAAGTAAGCACAGATAAAGCAGGACCATTTTGAAATGTATTTTTATATTTTATTATATACTTAGTTATATACTATTTATTACATGCTTCTTAAAAAAAATCAAGTGGTGCAAAGATTCCCAGTCTGTTCATAACACAAAAAGCATATGAGGATGCTTTTTTGGGTAAATTCAAAATAAAAACAAATAAATAACATTGCACAAAGTCTTTTGGAAATACACAGAAGGGTGAGATCGCACCCCCTCCTCCCTTATGGCAGTATTGGGCAGAGTTTCATAAAGTCATTTTGAAGGTCACATTTATTGAGGCACCATAAATTAATCCATGATACCATGCCATGGCAGAAGACAGCACTTTTAAAAATGGTCCACAAATCAACTTGAAAGCCCCATATTAACTCTATTTACTTACATGATTCTTGGAGAGTAAGTTGGAATCATGGGACACCAGTTCAGCAAGAACTACAACATGTGTAGGTCAGACCTGAGACTGATATGAAATAAGACATTTATAGTCAGAGGTGTGCTAGTGAATACTTAACAATTGACTCTCCAGAAAGAAAAAAAAAAGTACAAATGACATATTTACAAGTTAAATCAGCGTTATTAACATATGCTTCATCACTTTTTTTTTTGAGACAATCAGGGTTAAATGACTTGCCCAGGGTCACACAGCTAGTAAGTGTCAAGTGTCCAAGATCAGATTTAAACTCAGGTCCTCGTGATTCCAGGGCCAGTGCTCTGTCCCCTGTGCCTCCTAGCTGCCCTTCTCTGTCACTTTCTTAAGCAGACAATCAAGAAAACAACCAAACCCTGATTTGTAACATTTACTGATTTCTGAGGTGTAAATGCTCACCCTGAATATTTAACAATTGACTCTCTTGAGCTAGTTCAAGCTGGCTCCAGCACACTTTGGCTCGTAGCCCTTTTGAGAGTTACCAAAAGATTTACTTAGGGATAAGTTCCAATTTCCAGTAGTAAGGGGAAGACCTAGGAAAGACCCGCACAATTGCTGTGGAAACCTCCCAGCAAGCCTGGCTCGTAAGAATAACTGCTTCAAGGAGGAGAATTGGGGTGGTGCCTTTTATTAGACCACCTGTCTAGATGAAATTCCTGTAGATCTCTAGGCAGTTACGGATCAGGAAGTTTATCTGAGCAGGTTCAAAGCACTATCTGGCTGAGTAGGGGAACATAATTCCAATGGCCAAGGTCAGACACCAGTTACTATTTTAGCTGGACCCATAAGAGATCCTTTGCTTTTTCTTTCTTTGGTATACAACCTTCTGCTAATTCCTTGTCTCCAGCAATATTTTGTGAGATCATTACATTTTCCTGTCTTGAGTTTTCCTTTTCTGCTCAAATTTCTCTTTTACAAGAATTAGCGTTATCTCAGATCTTAGCTTTCCCCACCTAGAGAGAGAGAAAGCAGTACAGCTTGCTCCCAGCTCTTCTGATTCTCCCTGGCCTTCACTTTGCATGTGGCTAGCTAGGAAGGACTTCATGCTTAAACCATCACAAACCCCCAAACCCCAAATCATAGGTTTAGCAGCACCTACCCTGTGGAAACAAGTGCCATTGAAAAATAAGAAAACTCATCAAACTCTTTTCTACCCAGGACTTTTCTATATAGACCCTGAGGGGTATAAAAACCTTGCCCCTGGTGTTGGAGTCACTCAGTGTTTGTCCCTATTGCAATCCCAGTTGTCTATTGACTGGTCCATCATGTGCCTAGTAATTGGGAATCTGGGATCCAGGATCTGGGGTGATACCATTCCAAGCTTTGCATGGAATTGCACTAACTGCAATGATGCTGATGGTTGACAATTGTTGCTATTTATGCCTGCAATGAACCTTCTGTCATTCCACAGTTGTAAGTCTTTTATGTAGCCATCACTCCATGCATCACTTAATTTGAATTGAAATTCTGATTGGCTTGTCCATCAAACAACCATGGCTTTAAAGACAATTTCTGGCCTCAAGAAAATCTACATCCTAAAAATTCACATCCTAAACCTACATGAAAGACACACAAAAACATTTTTCTTGGTCTATTCTGTTTTTACTAAAAATCACAAGCAGAGATGTACTGGTTGCTGGTCTATATTCATAATAAGTTGTTTGGAAGAAGTTGAGTGCTAGATAGATCCTCTACTTTCTCCTAGATTGCCCAATTTCTCAAACCTCTATCTCCTTGGCCAACATTAAGCATGAAACAAAGGTTTTAAAAAAATTGATAACTGCATTTTAGTATAATTGGTTTCCTTTGTAATCTTATATATTATGCACATTAAAAAATAGTATTTGGAGAAAGGGCCCATAGACTTCACTAGACTGACAGAAGGATCCAGGACACACACACAAAAGCTTAGGTCACAGGTTCCCCACCCCTGGACCATTATGAACTCCTGGCTAGAGCTAAGTATGGGTGAAAAGATCTGACAGTGACTCCTCCATCGGAGACATTTGAATTAGTAAACCTAGAATGAGGATAATGTACAAGGTATTGTATTGAACTGCACATAGATTTAGGCACAGCTCCTTCTGGCTGTGATAGAATCATCTTAAACCAGGCAGCATGCACTGGGGAGCCTGGGACTTCAATCTTAGTTGAATTTTATAAAAGTCCAGTCATTCAAGAACCTCATTTCATTTTGGTTTTGGAAAAACTGCAGGCGATGGGAAAATAAACTATTTGGGGTATTCGTGTTGCTCTGACACCTTTTTGAAGATTTGTGCTATTAAATTTACTGACAAAGCCAAACTGAAGGATGAATTGAATAGAGAACCTATCTTCATCCATTTGTTGCCTCAAAATGGATTCAGCTGCAGTCTGAGATGCATTGTTTGACCATAACAGTATTTAATCCCTAGCTGTCATCAGCAGCGATCTTGATGGATAGGTGCTGTCACACTGACCTTGACAAGCTTGCTGTATTTATTTTCAGGGGCGTGTAGCTTCCAAGAAGCAAAGGAACCAAAATGAGCTCAACTCAGCTCCATCAATCAGCTTCCCAACTCAGACCCTGGATGCATCAGACATTCCAATATCAGGTCAGTGACAAGTTGGCCCCAGTGTGTAGCTGATGTAATCCTTCAGTATTCCAAGTCATTCCAATCTGTTTTTTTTTCTTTCCCAAGTCGACTAGCAAGCATTTATTAAGCGCCTGCTATGTGCCAGGTACTGTGCTAAGTGCTGAGAATACCAATACAAGCAGAAAGAAAGATTATCTGTTCCTTCGAGGACCTTACCTTCTAATGGCAGAAGATAGAACACAGAAGGAAGCTGATTGGGGGTGGGGGTGGAGGGTGCCAAAGAAGGTACCTGAGCTGGGACATAGAAAAGAAAGTCTATAGAGTCAGGAGAAGTGGCCAGAGAAGAAAGAAGATATGACTGAATTGTGCCCTTGAAATGGAGGCTGTGGAAGGAATCATCAGTAGGAGCTTTAGGGTGGAGTGTACTTCCAGTGTGACAAGTTTGGGGGCAGAGTGAGCTTCCACAGTGAGGAGCCTATGGGGGAAGGTGAGGCAAGGTTTTCAGTTCTAGGCAACTTGTGAATACCAGGACAATGTTGTCCTGAACATTTCAGAACTCGAAAGGGCCTGAGCGATCATCTAGTCCAACCTCATCCTTTGACAGTGAGGGAATTGAGGCCCAGTGTGGTTACCCCTGTCTTCTGCTTTCATCAGACCTTATGTGGAGTACTGGGTTCAGTTTTGGGTGCTACCATTTAAGTACTTTAATAAGCTGGACAGTGTCTGGGGGAGGGCAACCAGAATGCTTTGAGTCCATGTCAGATGAGGACCTGTTGAAGGAAATGGGGAAGCCTGGGAAGCCTGGGAAGAAGAAGACTCAGTGAGATATGATCACCATCTTCGAATAATCGAAGGGCTACTGTGCAAAGAAGGGGTCAGACCTTGGCCCAGATGCAAAGAGACAAACTTCATGTTGTTCCCAGTCTCACTGGCCAGGCCCCTGGTACAAGAAGAACCACAGGCATGAGATAATAGCTGATTTCAGTCTAGTACTTTACAGCCCCAGAACATTTATATACATTGCCTTATTTGATCTTGACAACAACTCCATAGGGATAATATCACTTCCCTAGTCTGTAGATAGGAAAGTGAAACTCAAAGAATTTTAGTGACAAGCCTGAGAGTCATGGGATCTTTAATTTAGGGGATATTAGAGGCCATTTTAGTCCAGCCCCCTCATTTTGGGGGGTGGGGCTAGGCCATAGGGTTAAGTGACTTGCCCAGGGTCACACAACTAGTAAGTGTTATGTGTCTGAGGCTGGATTGGAACTCTGGTCCTCTGAATCCAGGGTTGGTGCTCTATCCACTGCACCACCTAGCTGCCTGTAGCCCCCTCCTTTTTCAGGGGAAGATTGAGAGACCCAAAGAGGAGAAGTGATTTGATGAAGATCACCCGAGTAGTCAATAGGAAAGCTGCAGTATGAGCCCAGGACTTGCCAAAAGAAAAGCCTAACCTTACCTCTGCTGTGCTGCTCTGGGCATAGCCAAAGCTCAGATGACCTCTGTGGGGTTTTCAATCTCTCAGCAAATGTCTCCATGCCTGGACTTTCTATTAAAGCTCTGCATGTCTGAATGTCTTTCACAGATGTTTCACCTGTAGTTTGCCCAAAGGACAGGGCTTTCAGCTGGCTCTTTATTTGATGTGTCTCTTCACAGTGTGTAGTATTAAACGTCATTGTGATCAACACATCCTTTCCTTTCTCTGGGCTAGGGCTGAGGGTAGGGACCAATTTATTTTGTCTCTGTATCTACAGTGCCTAGTACAGTGAAAGAAGTCTAGGCCCACTGCTCCACCTCATGGACCCTTTTAGATTCCACTGTTGCTCATCATTTTCCTTTCTCTCATCTATGCTTCAGTCCCCAGGGAAGAGCTGAATGGTGCAGGGGTATACTTTGACAAATGCATGTCCCTTTACTACAGGATTAAAAGTGAGAGGGGAATCCTTTCCATTGTTTACCTCTCCAGGGTAGGAAATAAATTGCTGGGAATTCTAAGGATGCTTTCAAATTTCCATGATTAAAAGTAACAGAGGCTCCAAATTGGCCCTGATGACCCTAGAGAAGAGAGAGACACACACACACACACACACACACTCATACCTGTATGTACACACATATGTATATGTATACACACATATCATGCATATGTACGTATATATCATGTTTTACATTTTGTAAAATATTTTTATATAAAACAGAATTATTCATTAATTCCTCCTAAAATAGTGTGCCATAGTGGTTATAGTATTGGATTTAGAGTTAGAAAGCCCTGGGCTTAACTCTTGCCTCAGCTGACTATCAGTAAGCAAGTCACTTAACCTGAAATATGTGTTCTTCTATAAAATGGGCATAGCATTAGTACTGAACTCGTAAGATGGTTGTAAGGATCAAATGAAATAATGCACAGATTATAAAGCACCTTGCACACCTTACAATGTAAGCTATTATTATCCTCTAAGTTCTGTTAAGGGTTAGACCATCATGAAGTGAAAATGCAGCCTGGTGTTGCCATGCAGATGCTGCACCCAGAATTCAATAGCAATGATATTGTGGAATGGGGGTAGGTGGGTGGTAGTGCTGCTTCAAGGAAAATTCTGGGAGAAAGATGTCTTAAAGGAAGGAGCAAGGAACCAGGTTTGGAGTACATGTATTGGCCTCCATCTTGGCACCATGTGGGAGATGCTGGGGTGTCCTGGAGTTTCCCTTCTCCCTTCCCCCAGATTTTTCCTTCAAAAATACTATGGTCAGCCATGGAATTTTCCAAGGCTGAAGCCAATGAAGGTGCTTGTTGCATTGATAGGGACAATAATTGGTGAGCTAATGTAAGCAACCTTGACAGATATTATCCATCATTCCTGCTTTGGAGTAAGGAAAAAACTCTACTCCTCTACCTGAGAAAATCTTTTAAGTTTATCTCTCTCTCTCTCTCTCTCTCTCTCTCTCTCTCTCTCTCTCTCTCTCTCTCTCTCTCTCTCTCCTCCCCGCCTCCCTTCCCCCCGCAGTGGGGGAGGAAAAGGGGAAGAAGGTGTCTAAGCAGAAAAGATATTTCTGCTTTTGCTGTCAGAAGTTCCTGGAGCTGGCTACCATTTATCCAACCGTCTTCTTTTTGTTCTTTCGCTTTTCCCCCTTTATTATATTGTCTACTCCCTTTTATATAAAAGAAATTAGTGGCCACTAACCTTTGTTTCATGCTTAATGTTGGCCAAGGAGATAGAGGTTTGAGAAATTGGGCAATCTAGGAGAAAGTAGAGGATCTATCTAGCACCAAGTATGAGGTACTGGGTAGAAAATGGCCCAGTACTAATCTCCACCCGAGGCGTGTAATTCACAAGTGTGATTGTGCTGTGATATTCTTTAGCCATTTCAAGGAGATTAGTTGGGGTCTTGGTAAGCAAAGAACAAATATAACCTGAAGAGAATCATTATAATCTAGGTCAGGGGTTCTCAACCTTTTTCAGGAGTATCATGAAACTTATGAAGTCCTTTTCAGAATGTTTTTAAATGCTTAAATAAAATACATAGCATTACGAAGGAAACCAGTTATACTGAAATGCAGTTATCAAAATATTTTTTTTTTAAAGTTCCTAGACCCCAAGTAAAACAACCCTGCCCTGGGTTTACAGAATAGATATTTCTTATGAACCAAAGCTCAAGAAGAAGCTGGGAGAGAGAAATGCTGGTCATGTGGATCACACAGGTGCTGTTGGATCCTTTATAGGGATATACCTAGAGTTCCTTTCCTATCTACTTAATCTTTGAGTAGTTTACTCTGGAAACCCATAACTCATAATTTATATTACATGTAGGAGATGGGATTTCAGAATTACTTTAATTTACATATCTCTAATTTGTAGTGATTTGGAACATTTTTTCATATGGCTATAGATAGCCTGGGTTTGTTTCCTAAAGAAATTCTGTTCATTTCTATAAACTATTTATTAATTGGGGAATGGCTCTTTTTTCTTATAAATTAGAATCAGTTTCTCATTTATCTCGGAAATGAGACCTTTATCAGAGAAACTTGCTACAAAATTTTTTCCCATTTAATTGTTTCCCTTATGATCTTAGGTTTATTAAATTTGTTTGTGTAAAACGTTTAAAATTTTATGCAATCAAAAGTGTCCCTTTTATCTTCTGTGACCCTCTCTATTCCCTGTTTGGTCATGAGCTTTTTTTCCATCTGTAGATCTCTGATAGGTAATTAAAAATGTTTTTCTAATTTGTTTATCATAAGCTTTTTGTCTCTAGGTCATGTACCCATGTGAAATTTATCTTTTTATAAGATGTGAAGTATTGGTCTCTATTTAATTTCTTCTATACTACCAGCTAATTTTACAAGCAGTTTTTGCCAAATAGTTCCTCTCCCAGTGACTGAAGTCTTAGTAATTATCAAATACTAGGGTGCTAGATATGTTTACTTTTGTATGTTGTGTACCTAATCTGATTGATCTCTGCCAAATTATTTTAATAATTGCTGTTTTTTTGTATAGCTTGAAATTTGGCACTGCTAAGATCCCCTTCTTTTGTATTTCTTTTCATTATTTCCTTTGAGATTTTTTTTTACCCCTTCTCCCTTCATGTACTTGCTATCCATTACAAAGATGGGATAGATTTAGGGTGCAGGATGAGAAATGTATGTATACATATATGCACACATACATATATATGGATCTTTGTATTTATATACATATACACATAAACATGTATTGTGTGTGTGTATCTCCATCAAGGAATTTATTTTGCTTGACAATGTATTTTTGTTACAAGAAATTTTTTTCCAATGGAGTTGGGAATGAGAGGAAGATAAAATAGATTTCTGTTTTTTTTTTTTTAAGTAGGGAAGTGGTTGGTGGGAGCGACAGACATGGAATATTTCATGCACTTTGAGATGAGGTCACCAAAATAATAGTTTCATTTAACTATTTTACTTTGTTACAAGATACCTCTTGCAAAGTGGGAATATTCTATAATTTTTTTTTACATCATAGTAAAAACAAAACAAATCAGTATTTTTCTAA